TCACATACAGTATATGATAAGCGTTACCAATCCTATCTGCCTATGGTTAGTCATTATGTCAGAGTCCATTCAAGAAAAAATATAATGCATAGAAGGGATCTCTGGATTAACCTATTCACAAAATGATAGTATTGACGAATAAAATGAATCATTATTTGTTATTGTTCTTACAAAGAATAATAAACAAAAAGATCGCAAAGGAATTTTGTTGATCAACTCATTACCATATTCTTTTATTTCTTATGACATCTCAATCGAATTAAGTTTACTGAGGAAACCATTTTGATAATCGGATCAGTCGGTGAGACCAAAAATCCCTTGTGTTCGTGATAATTAACTCCAGAATAACGAACGCATTCGTGGGTTTTGCACTAATCTCGAATTATTATCAATAGAATTTGGTTGCCAAAAAGTGTGCACGGGAAAGTTTATCATTTATAATGTTTTCTTTCAATTGACCTGAGAAATCTTTCATTTTATCTTTTTTTGGTTTACATGTTTCACTTGAACACTTATTTATAAGTTCATTGTCGGAATATTTTACTGAAAGAGGAAAAGAAATTCGGACTTGGATAGAAAGGGTATGGATCTATCGTGATATAATTGTGATAAACTGGATTATTGAGAAATGGAAAGAAAATATGGAGTGTATGCAAATATGAAATTACAAGAATTGTGGGGGCAGCGCCAAGAAAAGCAATCTTCATCTGTAGGAAGAATTATACCTTTTGTGAATTCTTTTATAAATAAAACACGCTTTATTCCTATCTTTCCTGGGATTTTCCATTAAAAAAATGTATTTATTCTTTTCTCTTTTAAGCAATTCTTCTTTTCCACGCAAAAAATCATTTCTAGAATTGAGTAAATGATGACATGTGCGGGTTACAGATGCTATCCTTTCGACTACACTATAATTCCTTATTTCCTTTTTTTTTGTGTTCTGTCTAGTATGCAGTATAACATGTCTTCGCACGTGATATTTGTTTAGTAACACAATACCTTATTTTGACAGACTGTACTGTATATATAAGGTTAGATGTTTACTAAAAATAAATAAAACTTAAATCGTAAATCATAAATCTCGATGTTCATCGATGTTCATCATAATGTAACAAGTACAAAAACCGTATGGCGTCGGGTGACCATCGGCGACACTAATTCCGCCAATTCCATGTGTTTAATGCTCATTCGGAGTTTGTCGATCGTTGTTACGAATAAACCGAAAGGGATCTATGGTTAAATGACCTTGAACATTTTGTGACACTGAAGAATATGTTCCATTATTATCATTATTCATGTTCGGAGTTGATGGATGTTCATGCGCAGATATATGGTTCACATCAGATCCATTAGTGCAAGGTAGTTTTTGGGATTTTCTTCCACGTTTCTTTCCGGATCTAACAAATATGCATTCAAAACTTCGATTGGCACAATTTGTGCATACGGGCTCTCCACTACACTTCTTCTTTAGTCGTCTACAATTAGTACATGCAATAGTCACATGGGTACGAGTACGCAACCTATGGATATGAGAATGGCGAATTCTATTCATTCCTAAGATATGTAAGTTTGTTTGCTGATGCTATATGTTTCAACCAATAGTATCGTTTGTATTTATGCACGTCGTTTTTATCATAATATAGGAAAGATAATTTAGAGTGAAGAGAGAACCAAGACAGTTCATCAAAAAAAAATTTTTTTAATTTTTTTTCTAGCGAGCAAAGGGATATTCTGACGTTTAAATACGAAATACCGTAACATCAACCTGTCAACTAAGTCAAATATTTAATAGCATACAGTATATACAGTAAGTGCATAATCATTTTTTTTTAGAACCTTTGTAATTCTTATTTAAATATTTTAACCGACAAAAACCCGCCAGGTTATTGACTTTAGGAGTCGTTTCAATGTTTTTGTTTGTTACATTAATTGCTGTGTTTACATTGCCGTTTTTCTATCAAGGCCAAACGATCAGCACAACAATTTTTAATTCACCTAGATAAAAAAGAATTATTATTATTATTATTAATGTTTGTGCATACAGTATATGTATGATAATAATCCCGATAAAATATAAAATATGTATTTTACTCAAACATGCTAGCGGTGACGATTGGCAACAGTTCATACAAACTCGCGAACGAAGAGAGGGGAGATGCATTTGATACCAAGCTGTCTAGAAAAACTTAAACCATTGACTATTTCAAATTATATTACATCACGATTTGACGAATAAAAATTCGAATGTCTATTTTACGTAAATTCCGTACTTGTATCATAACTCGTTTTGGCGATGAGATTCAGCGTAAATGCACACTTTATTAAATTATCTTTGACGATATCGCCGTTAAAATCATTTTTCAATTAACAATCAATAATAGAAATGAATAGAAATTTGGATTTTGAATAATCACGACGTACCAGATAAATACGGTGTTTACAAGTAAACGGTGAATATAGGGCACTGTTAATGTTCTGACATACATTCAAGACGTGTAAGTTTAGAAGATTTCGAATTACATGACATGAATTTCACTTCATGACCCGGAAATGTTGAGAACTTTAAAGGAATTCTGCTGAATATGCGCAATAAGACTTGAAATTTCACAGAAGCAGAAGGCGAATAACCGATTCGTTTAACGAATTTTTTGCACGTAAGGCTCTTCACTACAGAGTTTTTTCAAAATTTCTTCATCTCTTATATACGAAGGTTCTAATTGACAAAAATTGTTGAGAGATTCTTGGCTGGTGAGAAATTCAAGGCATTTGTAAGGTAGAAGCCTTCATTTACACATTCACACGCTTGGTATGCCTAAAAGTCTTCTTTTGGTATACTGTATATACCTATATCCTGTATAGATAGGTTCTCATTCACAAAATCAATTTTTCTTTCTTATTCTTTCAACCTTTCTCCGAAATAAAAGCTATTAGACATTCTCTAAAAATCAAATTTTTAAAAGATATTCCGCATGCTCTGACGTATTAAATAACCGAATGGGAAATGATCAATGGTTCTTTTATCTTCTCAATATAGATACCTGTATTACCCAATCCTACGCCGACATGCGGTAGATCACCCAGATCCAAACTAAAATAATCGGAAATTTTGCGTTTTCAAGTTAGCGGAACATATGAATAAATAAATGATCTAAATAGAGGAACCATTCATTTCTATCATTATCTGAGGGTATTTTTGTTTATCTCTTTAAAGTTTGACATCCACACGTGAAAAAATATCTATGGCATATTCTTTCGGAGGGGAAAATCAATGAAGGAGTGTTTTACGACTGTTCAAGCCTTTCAACTCCTGGAGAGTAAGTATAAAAACTCCAAGAAAAAACATTGACATCCTCAAGTTTATTGTCTTTCGTAATATTCCACATCCTTTAAATATGGCACCCCGCAGAATTCGTCATCAATATGCCAAACAAGCATGCATAAATTGTAGAAAATCAAAAACTAGATGTTGTCAAGCTTTAGACAGTGAAAAACTCAGTCTGCCTACAGTCAATCGAGGACTTAAATGCGAGGATTTTGTTGATCAGAAAGACTTAAGTATATCGTCGTTGGCTTTCGACAACGAAATCCATGAAATCCGTGAAAATATCGCGAAATATCCAGGAAAATGCATCCGATGTAAAAAGCGTGGTGTTGAATGTACCTATACCAACAAGTTTAACAAAAGAGGTCCGAAGACGAGAAGTCCAAAAATGTTAGTGGCAAATCTTGTTCAATAATGCATAATAGCGCGTCTCCAGTGATTTTAAACCCGTGATTATAATTTTAACGGAATCCAAGTCCTTGAAACATTTACTGACGCCTACCTTACAAATAACAATAAGAATAATCTCTCTCAATCCTTACTCTCGATTAGTTTAATACTTTAGTTTGCATCCATTTTTGTAATCTGTATATACAGTATGCTATCGATTTAACATATTTCAAGTCGCAAATACTGATTATCCAATGTAATCATTGTTTGTTTGTTTTGTCTATAATGACTTTTTATTTGTATATATTACGACTTTGTTTCAAAGTCGATTATACTGTATGTTCTTTTCACGCATTTAAGATAGATGAATAAATCTCAGGTATTCAAAGTTTATAGATATAAAGTAAATTTGCTTAATTTAAAACCTCTACTAAGTTTTGGTAATAATACTGCGCTTAGAGAAAATGTAAATTATTGTTAACACAATTATGCCATCGGAGTTTTTTTTCACTTAAAAAACGGAATATGTATGTCCACGTGATTTGCTTTTTTGTGGATCGCGGAAAATTTGCGTGAATATGATTCTGTACTCCGTCGGAACTATATGAAAATCATGTCTGAGCGTGCATTCAAGTTTTACCATATACAGTATAAATGTACGTAGCTATTATAACGATGACATAATGTTTACTATTAGTGTATACCATATACAGTATATATACAATAAATTCAGAATTTTAATTGTCATAGGATTATTGTAATAATAACAAATACCTGATATTCAGCAGATTTTCTTTTTCCAAAAAAAAACTCATTTTATGGGGTTCTTCGCCAAGAATTTTATTTACTTTAACAAAGCATTATACAAACAATAAAAAAAACCATCTGGAATTAAGATCTATCGGTTCTCCCGATGACATCATGTACAGTAACTGTGATATGCGTTGCGTAACTATTTACTGTATGTGACCACGAAAAATACTGTATTTTTTTGGATGGTGTGCGTTTGCCTTGTTTAACTTTATTAAATGAATATTTGAGATACAAAATTTATGTATACATGCAAGATGTTAACAAAATGTCAATAGACTTTTCTAATTTATAAAGTAACCGGTAAATAAACGGAACAAATAAATTTAAGCTAATTCTTTATCAAATGTTTTTTTTTTTTAAAAAAAAGAAAAAGAAAATTTGCTATAAGTCACAATATTGAAATGTCAAATAATTACAGTATATTAAAAATAAAAGGATTATAATAAATGTTATTTTATATTTTAATATTTACAAAATTTTATTGACGCTACATTTAATTATACTATGAAAAAATTCAATGCTAATTAAATAATTAAAGAAACTATTGTAACTTTATTAAACCTTTTAATTACATTCATTTGGTTTTAAATTTTTATCAATATTTAATAGTTAATAAATAGTTACATGCTTTTGTTATAGCTTATCTTTCATTTTTCATATGAAACATTAAAATTTAATATATTTCACTTGAAAGTTATTATCAATTTTTTTAAAAATTATTACTTTAATTTTAATTTTACTTTTAATATATAATTTAAGTTTGATTTATAAATACTTGATTCAATTGAAATTCGGGTTTTTGTTCAATTATAATAAAGATATATAATTATTTTTTTATATAAAGATTTGTATTTTTATATTAGTACAAATTATTTTTGTGATAATTTGTTAAAAAATTATTTTTATAATATAATTCTCTTATTATTATATTTTTTAATAAAATCAAAACAAATAAAATCATACTCTTTTAAAAAATTGTTATATTTGAATTTTTTGTTACTTATAAATAATATAAATCTTTATTTATTTATATACTGTATTTTATATTATTTTTTATTTATCAATTATTATAAATATTTTTTATAAATTTATTTAATTAAAATTTTTATTAAACTTATTAATAAAAATTTTAAAGATTATTTATTATAATATTTATTTTATATAAATACTGTATACCAATAATTTTTTATTAATTTTTTTTAATAATTTTATAAATTTAAATTTAAATGGTATTTGTTATAATAAATTGTTTTTTTAAAAAAAATATTTTTTCTTAAAATAATAAAAATAATATTAAATTTATAAAAGTTTGTAATAATATTGTAAATTATAATCTTATTGTATTTAATTTTTTATACCTAAATTTATTAATTAATTATTATTATTATTATTTTAAAAAAATAATATAATAGTATATTAATTTAAATAATTATTAATTATTAATTAAAAATTATTATTATAAATAAGAATAAGTTTTTAAATTGAAAGCAAAATAAAATTCAAATATCTTTTATTATTAAAAAGTTTTTTATAATTTAGATCACTTACTTAATTTAAATGTTTTTAAATTATATTTCTATTAAAATAATAAGTAAATAATAATATTCTATTTAAAAAATAAATAATTAATTTGTAAATTTTATATACTAAATAATTTCAAATTTTATATACCAAATAATTTCAAATTTTATTTCTTATCTTAATCAATAATTTTTGTTTTTTTAAAAAAAAATATTTAATAATAAAAATGAATTTTATAATTTAATAATATTTTAACTTTATTTTTTTATTTTATTTTATATATTTAAATTATAATTTTTAATTTAAATAGTACAGAGGATAAACAAAAGTTTATGGTCAACTTTTTTTTTTTTTAAAATAAAATTTAATTAAAAACTAATTAAATTTTTTTAATAAAAATATATTAAATATATAAGTGCAACGTATTCTATTTTTAAAAATGTATCATTATATAAAAAAATTTTTTTTTTTATTTACTTGAAAATTTCATTTTAATTTTCATGTAACCACTAATACCTGCTAATAAAAAATTAACTTTTGAACAAAAAGCAGCCATAATTTATGGTTACAAAAAAAAAGATACCTATTATAATATTGCAGCCAATATCAAATACAAAAAAAGTATAGTAGGTAATATTATAAAGTATTTTATTAAAACTGGATTTACAAAATTATAAATACGATGATCAGGATAATTGAAACATCCATGACTCCTAAATAAATATGCTTGTACCACCTTAAAAAAACTTATTATTGACAAAAAAAGTAACAGACATATTACTGCTGCAAAACTAACTAATCTTTTTATAGTCAAAATAGAAATCCAAATATTCAAAAAAAAATCAGTCGAATCCTATATAAAAAACAGTTAAAAAGCTGTATCATCTGTTCCAAGCCCTTCCTTTCAGAAAAAAATATTGAAAATCAACTTACCTGGTGCCTTACATATAAAGACTGGACCATTTGGAATTTTAAAAAAGTAATCTGAAATGACGAGTCTATGTTTACTCAATTCCAGTAAGGGAGTAAATATCATATTTGGCATAGTTCACATGAAGAATAGAATGCTGAATATCTTTCTGCCACTATTAACTATAGCCCAAGCCATATATATTGGGATATTTTTTATGGTTCGGTGTTGGTCCCCTTGTTTCTCTTCACATCTTGGTTAAAGGTAAGTTTATTAAATAAAAAAAAATTTTTTTCGATTTACTGTAAAAAAAAAAAATTAAACTTATCTTTTTTCTCTTATAGTAAAGTCATATATCACAACTTTCCAAGATCATCTTTTGCCAGCCCTTCGAAATTTCGATAGAACCAATTGGAATTATAGTAGCCACCCTTGGTTTTAACATAATAATACAAGATCACACGTCGCAAAAATTACGAAGAAGTTTCTTGCTAATAAAAATATTTGAATTATGGACTGGCCTTCTCGAAGTCCAAATCTTAATCCAATCGAAAACCTTTGGCATTATATTAAAGTTTGGATTCATGAGATTAAATCTAATAATTTAATAAAACTTAAGAATTGTATTTTAAAATGTTGAAACGAGATCGATCCAGCATACTATAAACAATTAATCAAAAGCATATTATGTCGTATTATGGCTTGTATCACAGCTAAAGAAGGGCTATAAAATATTAAAAAAAATATAATTAGCTAAATAGATATCTATAAATCAATAGAATATAAATTAATAATAAAAAAATATGTAATTAGATATTTGAAAAATTTGAAAAATTTTTTTTTCTTAAAAACTATTGTATAATTTTTTTAAAAATTTTTTTATTTAAAAGTTTAGTTTTTAAAGATTTTAAATATATTTTTTATTTATTTAATTT